AATGCGAGCTTATTCAGTATTCCTCATACAGTTGATTTATGTAAGTTTTACTATTGTTGCATATCGAGCAACCAATCTACTGGCCTACTGAATACTTGAACCTCCAAGATCTTCTTTTTTTTTTTTTTTTGAGTAAGTCCAAGATTATTTTAATCACAAGTTGAACTTAAATCTAAGCCATGTAGCTAATGCCTTTCAGCTTTAGGATTTCTTTCAGACATAGCTCTGAGTAAATGAGAATGTGGTATCACACATGAACTATGGAAAATGCTCCAGTAATAAACATCCCCTTAATTTGACGAGGCAGTATAGTCTCCTATTCTCGCTCCAACTTTCCATTTTTCAGGTTCTGCTAACAAATTTGATATTCTAAAAGTCATAATTTAATGATCAGTAATTGGAGAAAGTCATATAACTACAAACTTTTGATAAAAATTTATTCAGTGCGTGGAATTGTTAGAGCACCCATAGAGTGGCTGAATCCAAACTCTTCTTCAGCCCGGTGTAGTAAACAGTAAACAGTGAAATGAAGGATGGTTAAGGTAGTATAATGGTATCACATATCTCTTCCTATTGGCTTCCCCCACATAAACAGCAAAGGCGCCTTTTGGTACATCTGTACATCCTGGATTTGAAAGAACTCGATTCATAATCTGCTTAGAATGAAAAATTCGTGGTATTTGAATACCCATTATTCTTGGTTAAAGCTCACTGCGACTGAAACTTGCACTTCATAGACAAAGTTTTTGTTTTGTTGGATTGGCTTGAATGGGAGCAGATATGAACAGTACAGGGATTAGCGGAGAAGATGGTGAAGGATCTTTTGATATGTGAGGGCAGTAAAAGACATTTGACATAGTGGTCCATATATGAAAATGATATGTTTTAGTATGATGTGGCTGTTCCTCCCTGAGAAAACCATCAGACCTAGGTCATGGACCATGGTAATGAATCTGTGACAACATACCAAGTTCAATTAATAAGTGGCACCCTTAGGTGTATTTATCAGATTTGGATTGATAACCTATATGTCATGAGCTGTTTGCCTCAACTTCTCCAGTGTTCATTTTATGTTGTTAGATTGCAGTCACCAAGTGGCCACTAAGATCACAAACTTTGGAGTTGGTTACAACTGCTGAAAGGCAAAGGAGGTTCGACACATGAAGATGTTCTTGTGATGTAAACTAGCAAGTTTTCTGGGCATCAAATGGTTCTACAGAGACAAGCAATGAATGTTATGTTGGTTGGTGGTTCTAAACTCTCTCTCCATGACAAGTTGGGTATTGTAGTTCTATTGATGTATACAAGTGGGATAACGAGCATCACATATTTCGGCAGGGACATGCAAGGCATATAGTGTTGTTTGATGGTTATAGATATTAAGCCAAATTGCTTAACTAGAAGTCAAGTAATAGTGCTTTCTTAACATCATCTTGTATGCACCATGTTCAGCAAATACAAGTTAGGCATATCATGTTTGTTGATGGTTCTATTACATCTTAAGCCAGTTGCTTACACAAGTTGGGTATCAGTGTATTCTTGACATAAACTAGTAATACAATGAGCATCACACAGCTCTGCAGAGACAGGCTATGCAAATCATGTCGGTTGATGGTTCTACATATTAAGCCAAATTGCTTATATAACAATTAATAAATTGGGTATTGGTGTACTCTACTCGTCAATATATCAGTCTGGATTATGATTAGAACATGAATGCAAATTTGCAAATGACCAAGCATGTCTTTTCAAAGAATGAACTAAAAAGCCTCACTATGTCCATACCAGATCAAGATTGATAATGGCTCCTTTCTGTTAAATGCAACTTAAGGCTAAGAATCAGAATCAGGAATTAGATAAAAAAAAAAAAGAAAAAGGAAAGGTAAAATGAGGCAGTGCCAGACATATGTCCCGCCCAAGTAACTGAATAACATCTATAAAACATTTCAAGAGAACAAAACAGAAAGGAAGGAAAAGTCAGATGAATTTCACGAACTGAAAGAGCAAGTATGAACAAGAAGGAAGTGTGGAACAGTGGATCGCTGACATTCCTCCCTTCCATAATGTGGCGGCAGGTCCAGCCACAGCATTCCGTACAAAATGTTGAAGTTAATTCATTCAGGGATTTGTCCACCAACTTTTTACGAGCTGTTCTTCTATTATACAATCTGAAATTACATCACCATGACTGTGGTAAAAAAGAAAACAAAGTTGAAAGTTTCCCGTAGTCCTCTCCACCAGATATTCGTGCCTGTGTAGCAACCATGAAGCTGCAGTTTCAGCAAGAGATTTATGTCATATGCTGCGGATAATTCTGAGTGAGCGTGAAGCCAACAATAATTTATTTATAGGCATAATCTTTGCTAGGTGAATGCCATCAAACAATTTGTCATTCATCAAGAGGTTCAGTAAATTATATTCTGTTTCTTCCCACCGTAGGCCAAGGTTCACTTTGCCAATGAAGGATATCAGAATTCTTGACTGCTTAAGTTATGAGAGAAGAGAAGAGAAGAGAAGGGATTGTTGTGTTATTTAGGAGTTTTGAGAATTAGTGGAATGATTTTGGATATAAAAGTCATTAAATATTTGTTCAAGACATTTTTAAGGATAAAATAGGTATTTTAAAAAGCTTTCATAAGCTTCCTCCAACTTTCTCTCTATTTCTCTCCAATTTGGGAGGAAAACTTTTACTTACTATTTATCCTCTTAAATCCTTCCATTTCTCTTCTTTTCTTTCCTAATAAAAACTAACAAACAAAGGAAATGTTCACTTTCTCTTCTTGACCCTTCTTTTCTCTCCAAATCATCCACTCCCAAACGAACCTAAGAGTTGCGACACCATGCCTTCCCAATTACTTGTGTAGAATGAAAGGGTTTTAGAAATCTTCAGCACTTAAAGCACTTACCGGAAAATTTTTTTTTTTTTTTTTTGGGAATTCTTGTAACGACAAATAATTGAAAAGAATAAGCATCAAATAATCATAATGTTCTGCCTTTATGAAAGAAAAGCAACTGTACAAAAGCAATCTGCATGCTCTAAATTACAAAATTGTGCTCTGATATCTTAATTAACTAGTAGTATTGTCTAATAATGTGCACCAGCTCGGCAAACTCATATTTCTACCCAAGCGAGAAGGGAGATCAATGAACATGTCTTCTCTGCAGGGGATTGTCAAACCGCCCCATTGGATGATCAAAACCAAATTCTCCCTCAGCTTGGCTTGGCAAATCTTGGAACGCAGGCTCATTCAAGTAAGCAATGGGTATCACGAATCGCTTCCTTTCACTTTCTCCAACATATTGCTAAGTAGCCTTTTGGAACATCTACAGAACCTGAAATAGCAGCATTGGATGTTGATTTAGAGAGCCTAAGAACTTGCTTAGCTTGAATAATATGAGGTAGACGGATAGCCATTGTTCTACAGGATGCTTTCTTGTAATTAAATCAAACAAAGATAGAAAGATTTCTTTAATGCTTATGAAGATGTGTGTTAACTTAATCAAACAAGTGTATATATAGAACAGACGACCAGTACTATTATGTGGTAAAGAGGCTTTTCCTTGGACATCAAAGACAGAAGCTAATGAACCATCACCATTATCACATGGTTTTGCCTCTCAACTAATGATCAAGAATTTAGAACCACGTATCCTTTTGAAGTGTACCATGGCCTACAACTTTCTTGAACATGGAGCAAGGGGGACCCCCTTTTGGACTTAATCTATCAAAGCTCAGGCAATGATTGCACACCAGAATTTATTAGCTAACGAACTTTTTTGCCTGCTAAATCCTACTTTCATCTCAAGGTAATTTACAAATTTGGCAAACTTTGAAGGATGAAAATAAGTACCTAATGGAATTTTGGCTTATTCATTATTTCTCCTACAGTTAAATTTTTAAGTTTGGTGTCATTGAATAGGATGCAACGAATCTCCCTACTGAAAACTTCCCGTTTGCAAAATCATTTTGTACAAAAAGAGAAGAAGTAATTAAGCCAAGGCATATAATGAGGATCACATATTTCAGCAGCAACAAGCAAGGCATATAAAGTCAGTTGATTGTTCTAGATATTAAGCCAAATTCCTTAGCTAGAAGTAATTAATTGTACATTCTTAGCATTATCTTGTATGATCGAAGTTCAGCAAATACAAGCAAGGCATATGATGTTTGTCGATGGTTCCACATACTAAACCAATTGTTTACACAAGTTGGTAATGAATTTAAACCCTGTAATGTCTTGTCTATCTGTTTGATACAATTTCAACTTCTAATTCCCCTTTGGTATGTAATGATTTAGCAAGGTATATCGATTGCATTCTGTGCGACAACATTAAACTTAAATTAACTGTAGGACAAATAGTGAACAAGCCCACATTAGGTACTAACTTTCGTCCTTCAGTGTTTGCCAAATTTGTAAATCCATATGAGATTACATTAAAATTTAGCTGGTAAAAAGTTTCTGGTCTAATAATTTCAGGTGTGAAATCATTGAATCTCTTAGTCTTGATACCTTAAGTTCAAAATGGTATGTCGACAACATTAAACTTAAATTAACTGTAGGACAAATAGTGAACAAGCCCACATTAGGTACTAACTTTCGTCCTTCAGTGTTTGCCAAATTTGTAAATCCATTTGAGATTACATTAAAATTTAGCTGGTAAAAAGGTTCTCTGGTCTAATAATTTCAGGTGTGAAATCATTGAATCTCTTAGTCTTGATACCTTAAGTTCAAAATGGGTCCTCCTTGCTATATGTTCAACAAAGTTGTACGCCCTGCTACACTTCAAAAGGATAAATGGTTCTATATTCTTGATCATTGGTTGAGAGGCAAAACCATGTGATAATGTCAATGGCTCAATCTCATCACTCCAGTCTTTGATATCCAAAGAAAAGCCTCTTTACCACATAAACAAAATGGTCATTCTCCTATATATATGCTCATATATTAGCTCTTCAGAAACATTTTACAAAAGCTTTCCTTTTCCTTTAAATCCTTTTATTTTTCTTCATCTGGTTAAATACAGGGAAGCATCCTGTAAAACAATGGCTATCCGTCTTCCTCGTATTATTCAAGCTGAGCAAATTCTTAGGTGCTCTGTATTGACATTTAATGCTGCCATTTCAGCTTCTGTAGATGTTCCAAGCGGCTATTTAGCGGTTTATGTTGGAGAAAGTGAAGAGAAGCAATTTATAATTCACGTTGCTTACCTGAATGAGCCTGCATTCCAAGAGTTACTAACATGGTTCGAAATATTGACCGATTCCAATATGAATCGGTCGAGTCGTAACTGGACCAAAGGGACTGGTACGATATTGATTCCCAAATTGCAGATATTACTATATCTAAGGCGACTCGCTCTAACTTGGTTGATTTGAATCCGTGATGCTTGGTATTGACTGATATATCCGAGTCGACTCAGATATTTTTTTCAGATTGTGTCTTTTTTGATATTTTCTAATTTTAGTAATTTTTTTAGATTTTTGATTTTTTGAAAAATCTTATGTGATATAATGTGCGTATCACCTGATATTCAATCGATATACTGCAACAGATGTAAAACAATCGAGACCACGACACAGCTACGACCCACAATGGCGAACCACGGTTACTAAGCCAAGATGAGGAAGAATTTGGTTGTGATCATCCAATGGGTGGTTTGACAATCCCCTGCAGAGAAGACATATTCATCAACCTCACTTCTCGCTTGGGCAGAAGTTTGAGTTAGCTGAGCTGGCACGCATTAATAGACAATACTTGTAATTAGTTGGTATAAGAAAGCACAAATTTTGTAATGTAGAGCAAGCAGATTGATTTTGTACAGTTGCCTTTAAATGAGAGCAGTGAAACTATTTAATCAAAAGCACCATTTCAACAGAATCTGACTTTCTAAACATGGGGCTTCTGCCCCCACTGTACGAGTCTTTCTTTGATATACTGCAAAAATTCTATCCAATTTCCATGAGTATAGCAAAATTCTAACTTTAGTCTACTGCTTCCCTGTAGCTGGTAAGGTCACAGCCAATCTGCATGTTGATTGTAACGATGATGGTGTCTATTACGTCGAAGCTTGAGTAAAGACTAAACTCTGATTTCATAGGACACCCCAAACACAAATTGACACATGGATTGCTTCCAATTCATCCAAGTTCTGTAGAATTAATAACCCGTAATTATGTAGCAATGGTACAAGTAAACAATTTTTACTGTGGTGGCATTGCAATTGGCATATATTCTACCCACAGGGTCATGGATGGATGGCCAGTTAGTAGTAACATTTGAGAATGCGTGGGGAGCAACAACTCGTGGATCATCTGAAGAAACATACGCAAGTTTTATCGCATCCTCAATTTTTCATCCATGTTCTGGATTGCCTAAAGATGCTTCACTTTTGATGCCTCCTCAAATCTGAGCAGTCCAAATCTGTAACAAGGAGATCTGTGTTTCATGCATTTGATGCCTTAGCTGCTCTAAAAAATAAAGCTATGACTGCTGCAATCTGCATCCAATGTCACCAATGCTACTCATGTTAGAGCTGTAATGGGACTTATATGGCATTGCATAATAGCCACATCTCAAGCTAAGATTCGGATCTTGAGTTGCTCTCGATGGTTAGGCTTGTCATGAGTGGGATTGATAAATTGAAGAACGGTTTTCTTGAAGATGTGAAGACTGAAGACGAGTCCCCGGACAATGTAATAAAGCATTTGAAAGAATTCGAAGAAGTGCTTATTACTAGTAATAACAAGCACGTGAATATTTTTCCAAAATATAAAACCTTTTAATGTATTAAATTTTTGTGCAAAACTTTGATTATTGGCATAGTATAAACAAAAAAAAAATTATATAATGAACAAAATTAATCGATTGGTAATTGTACGAAATATTTATTGTGTATAAAGTAATTAAAAGTTTATTGTGCATTCTATAGTTATAAAAACTCTGAAGATGGAAGATTATCATATTTAAACTAAGTTGGCATAATATTGATTATGAAACCACATATTAAACAAAATTAAGCGCTTCCTAGTTATAGAAAACGTTTATTATGTACAAAACAATTAAAAGTTTATTGAACTCTGAAGATGGAAGATTATCGTATCTAAATTAAGTTGTTGTATATTTTACTTCGACTGTAACAGTAGGAAGAGAAAAATTTCTTTGTTATATCAAACCAGTGTCATAAACATTATGATTTGGATACATTAAATTTTTATCAATTTCAATATCTGTAAACCTTTTATGCTATAGTTTTTATAATTTTTTATATTTTTCAGAAGTTTTCTTAGTCAATATGACATAATAGTGAATTTCATCATCAATTTAACCTTTATTTTCTCAATAACTATTTATAGACTTTGGTTTTCTTATTAATCGTGATTTTCTTCTAAACCAATATGTATATAAAATATAGTTAGCTTTAATTATCATGCATAAGAATATAATAATTGGAGATAAATTTAACATATACAATAATTGCCGATGAAGAAAATAATTGGTGAATATAGTTGTAAATGGGTATTTTTAATTTTAATTACTAACATTTTTTAGATGTAACTTCTGAAAACTTTTCATTTTTGTTATTATTGTCATGATTGAAATGCAATAACTCTAATTAAAAAACATAAGGGTAATTTAGGTATACTAAAACTAAGTTCAAAATATGTACTCATATACATACACACATATATATACATATACATATACTTAAATTTATGTATGTATGTATGTGTGTGTGCATGTACATATATGTACACACACAAACACACACACACATATATATATGTATATGCATACATACATCACACACACATATATATATGTATGTATGTCAGTATATATGTATGCATGCATGCACACACACACACACACATATATATACACACATACATATATATATGTATATATGTATGCATGCATGCACATATATATATACATACATACACATATATATACACACACATACATATATATATATACACACATATATATGTATACATATGTGTGTATGTAAAGCTTTAATCAGAAGTGAGATATATGTATGTATGTTTGTCAATATGTATGTATGTATGCATATATATATATACATACACACACACATATATTGTGATGCCCCCACTTCTTCCAAAGGTGAACCCGAGGGTATCGGCGGGACGCCTGCCTAACTCGCGTCGGGACTCAATACTTAAAAGAAGAAAATAGATTGCACGCTAAAAGAAAGTTCTAATTACTCCATTACAGTTGCAAAAGTTGCGTAAACTAATACATCAAGTCATACATACCACGAGTACCAGAAAGTAAACCCTAGAAAAGCTGATAACTATAACCACCACGACAAATATATACATCTTACTAGCCAACTTATAACAAGTACAAATTCAACTATTCTATCGCCAAAAGTTTAAACACCTTCCCGAGCGATCCCCACGTCGGCCCCTGCTAAGGAAAACAAATGGAATGGGGTAAGTTTTATGCTTAGTAAGTAATTAGGGGGTAAAATATAAAAACACATTCAATTAACATATAAATCCAAATATTGCATATCAATACAGAAATGTAATATCACAATGGTAGGATACGGGTGGTTCCAAAGCCAGTTCAATTTCTCGAGTTTGAACGCCTGTTGACACTCCGTCAACCAAAATACTCATGGTCCGTAGACTCCACTTAACTTTCTCCGGTCACCTTATCAACCCTCGTTGGCCAGTCAGCAGCACACAACAGCTTGAGCGAAACAAAATTACTTAACTTTCGTCAAAACTTTAACAAAGAACTAAATCCCAAGGATTGCATGGAACTATCTTCGACCAAGCCCCGACTGGCTTGAATAGTTCGTCTACCCTTGGAACCGGACTGGAACCAAGCCCTAAGATATCCAATCTCTCAATAGATGGTATCCCTCAACAAAGTACACAACAAAGTACTTACTCCAACAACACACAGTAAAAGGGGTTAAATTCAAGTCATGTAATCACTCCCATCAGCACACAGCAAAAGGGTGATACTCAACATAAGGCATGTATTCTCACATATGAAATCAAAACAAAGGATGGGCTTAGGTCGAGTGAGATAAAGTATACCCTCGCCTAAGTACCCATTCAACATATACAAAGCAGTTTAACAATTTCACATCAATAACAACCCAATTACTCACTCAAAATAGTTAGCACGCAAATCAACGTACTTTATACGGGTCCACTGACTCCATCCGGTTCGTCACTGTCTGTGATAGAAGATTATACTCAACTATTAGTCAATCGACCATCATAAATGGAAATAAGGACTAAAACGATCATAGCGGCAAAAACAACAAAGAAATGTATGCGCGCGTGCGCGGAAATGAAAAGGTACAAAAACGGGTTACATGATTTGACCATAACTAGAGCTGTGATTATCGGATCAAAATGTACTAGATATCGTCTTAAAATTTAGACAAAAGGTTACAATTTTCATGAAAGCTACTTGACCGATTTTTCAGTGGATCTAGGTCAAATTCGTAGAATACAGTACTAGAACTCTAAAGGCCAGTTTAATTCCTCTAGCAAAAATTTGGCGGCATGCCCATTGTGTTTACCTATTTTCCAGCCATTTATGGCTTCAATACTTTCCTCAAATCAGTCCCAAAGTCACACATATGCAATGGTATTGCAATAGCCCTTCAACTATGCTCAAAATACTCCAATTACAATGCAAGTACTAACATGATAATCGGAAATCAAGTTCAAAGACAAATAGGCGAATGGCAGCTTTGATGTCTCTTAGCGTAACGAGCACAACTGAAGCTACTTTTATCAGATTGGGGTCAAATTTATACCATGTCGAAGCTAAGACAAAGGCCTACAACTTTGATGAAGACCACTCAGTCCAGTTTGTAGTGTATCTAGGTCAAAATCTCCAATGGCAGAACCAGAATCTCACATTCGGGCTTGTTAACCACGTTATGCGTAAACAACAATAACTTAGGCTACCGAAGTTCAATAGAGGCGATTCCAGGGGAGTGGGAAAGCTAAGACATGGTACTACAACTTTCATGTTTTGGCCAAATGCTAAATCAGTACACATCAGGGTGAACAGATGTGGTTAGATTGGTGAAATGTCAAAACTGTCCCTAAAGTTCTTCCTATGGCAGTCAGGGGTATTTTGGTCTTTTTACATGCTGCGTTGCTCGGATTGAGCTAAAATTTTGTAGAAAACTAAAAAACATCATTTTATACAACTTTCATGTTTTGTACTAAGCCTAATTCGGCTTCTAACATCATGAACTGGAACCGGGCAGAACTGAAGCTACAATTTCCAGAAATCTGGAATTTTGTTATATTCAAGCTATAATTCACATTTTTACCTTAAACTACCACTACTTTCTCCTTTACAAGATTATATACCATATATATACATCATATAACACCTAACCCACAAGAAATATAAGTGAATAAATCAAAACCCTAACTCAATATTCCTCCCTCCAATCATCAAAACCATTTGAAACAAGCATTCCAAGCACAACTCTAACATTAATAACCAACTTAATCATGATTAATGGAGAAAGAAAGAGTGATCAGCCATTATACCTCAAGACAAGACCTTGCAAGAGTGATCCTCCACTACTCATTGAAATTTTTAGTTCCTTAAGCTTCCCAAGCTTCCAAACTAATGATTAATCAGTTTATTTTTTCTTGTTTGCACTCAAAAGGTTGGATTCAAGGTTAAAAATTGAAAAACTCTCCTCACTCTCTTCCCTCTCCTTGCTCTCGGCCAAACCAGAAAAAAAATGAGGAAAAATGAAGCAAAATGGATGATAAGAAGGTAGGACATTGGCTTGGTCAAGGAACCATAGGTGG